CGGCCATCGTGCGCAGCCGCCACTTGCGCGCCAGGATGACCCACATGTTCATCGTGTCTCTGGCCGTGTCCGACCTCTTCGTGGCCTTGCTGGTCATGCCCTGGAAGGCTGTGGCGGAGGTGGCCGGCCACTGGCCCTTCGGGGCCTTCTGCGACGTGTGGGTGGCCTTCGACATCATGTGCTCCACCGCCTCCATCCTGAACCTGTGCGTCATCAGCGTGGACCGCTACTGGGCCATCTCCAGGCCCTTCAGCTACCAGCAGAGGATGACCCCGCGCGTGGCCCTGGTCATGGTGGGCCTGGCCTGGACCCTGTCCATCCTCATCTCCTTCATCCCGGTCCAGCTCCACTGGCACCGGGACGAGGCAGGCTCCCGGGGCGCGGTGGACCCGCCGCCAGCCGACCTGGCCAACGGGACGTCCTGGGGGACAGCGGGGGACCCAGAGGTACGGGAGGAGAACTGTGACTCCAGCCTGAACCGCACTTACGCCATCGCCTCCTCGCTCATCAGCTTCTACATCCCCGTGGCCATCATGATCGTGACCTACGCGCGCATCTACCGCATCGCGCACGCCCAGATCCGCAGGATTGCCTGCCTGGAGCGGGCGGGGCAGCGCGCGCAGAGGTGCGGGGGCCGTGAGCCGGAGCCCGGCCTGCGGGTGTCCATCCAGAAGGAGACCAAGGTGCTGAAGACCCTGTCGGTGATCATGGGGGTCTTCGTGTGCTGCTGGCTGCCCTTCTTCCTCCTGAACTGCATGGCCCCCTTCTGCAGCCGCCGCCCCGAAGGCGCCCGCGCCGGCTTCCCCTGCGTCAGCGACACCACCTTCGACGTCTTCGTCTGGTTCGGCTGGGCCAACTCCTCGCTCAACCCCGTCATTTACGCCTTCAACGCGGACTTCCGGAAGGTGTTCGCCCAGCTGCTGGGGTGCGGCCGCCTCTGCTCCCGGCGCACCCGGGTGGCGACGGTGACCCTCAGCAACGAGCTCATCTCCTACGACCAGGACACCGTCTTCTCCAGGGAGACCGCAGCCGCCTACAGCCACGTGGTCCACAGCGAGGTGACCCCCCGCCACAGGGAGGGGGACAAGGAGGAGGAGGGCCCTTTGGATCTCATGTGCCAGACCGCTCAAGCGTCCCCAGAGGGTGACCCTGCCGCCCAGTCTGTCTGGGAGCTGGGCTGTGAGGGGGAGACTTCATTAGGCAAAACGACGCCTTTCACCTCAAGTGGGTTCCATTAAACTGCATACAATGCCCTTCGTGGACCTACAGAGCTGCCCAGACACTGAAGCACGGGAACACACACACACACACACACACACACACACACACACACACACACGTCCAGTGTTGCTCGGATCACCATCGCTCCTGTCTCTGTGTAGTAGCGTTTGTGCTTAGAAACCTTACCTGACTGGTTTGTTGTTGAAAGAATTGGCAGAAGCAATTGGGGCAAACTCGGTGTAATATACCCCAGTCTGGCAGATGCGGACCGATGGTCCTTTTAGAGGTGGTGTTTGGTCCTTACAAAAAACTGGAAATGTGGGACTTGGTCTTAAACATATATCCTCTTCCCCTTTAAACCAATGGATGGCTCAGCGACTTGGGCTCGGGCGGCTTTTTGGATAGGTTCAGCGTGTGCGGTGCTGACGGGCGGGTGGCTCTGCTCCCCTGTCTCTTGCCTCCCGGGGCCTGTGTTGAAGCAGCATCTGCGCTCGGCGTCCTCCGACAGCTGAGGAATGCTTCCCGGCGTGTCCTGGTGTCTAATAAACACAGATTGTGTGTGCGACGGGTGATTGTCTTGCTTTGCCCGGTTGGTCCGCAGGATGGCTCCTGCGGAAATCATGAGTGCGTCCTTTCAAAGCAGGGAAGACCTCGCTGGGGCTGGAAGCACATGGTCCGTTTGTTTCCTGTACGGACAGCTTGGCCTTAAAGAGGCACGTAGGGCCATGGGATCTTTTCGTTTGTTTGTTTCTTGTTAATCCTCACCTGAGGGTATTTTTTCCATTGATTTTTAGAGAGAGTGGGAGGGTGGGAGGAGGGGGGCGAGAGAGGGAGAGAGAGCGAAACATTGATGTGAAGGTGACACATAGATTGGTTGCCTCTGCACACTCCCTGGCTGGGGTAGGGGAACAAACCTGCAACCAGGTACGTGCCCTTGACCAGGAGTGGACCCCTCGACCCTTTGGCGTGCAGGCTGATGCTCCACCACCAAGCACACTGGCCAGGGCATGGGCCAGGGGATTGTCAAGAGCTTCTGATGCCTCCAGGATTTTTAAAAAATATATTTTATTGATTTTTTACAGAGAGGAGGGGAGAGGGATAGAGAGTTAGAAACATTGATTCAGCTGCCTCCTGCACACCTCCTAATGGGGATGTGCCCGCAACCGAGGTACATGCCCTTGACGGGAATCGAACCTGGGACCCTTCAGTCCACAGGCCGATGCTCTATCCGCTGAGCCAAACCGGTTAGGGCTCAGAATTTTTTTTTATTAGACACAGACATCTGGAGTCTGTGCTGAGAGCTAGCTTCAATGCCACGGCATCAGACACCAACATCTCAAGCCTGAGATTCTTTTTTTATCTGATTTGGAATCTTTTTTTTAAAAGAACGTAACACAAAACAACTCTCTGATTCCTAGACGGTTTCTATCAGTTCCGGGAGGCGATCACATGGCATAACAGCGAGATCTGTCTCAGCTTTTGATCAACCGTGTGTTCGGAAGGATGTTGACATGCTGACCTGCTTTGGAAAACAAATCCCAGTTTTAAACAGGGATTTTTATTTGTAGACAACAAGCAGTGAGGGACTGCACTTTAACTAAAATGTAGGAGCGAGAGGCGACATTTGAATGAACTTGAAAAACCTGTGCCTTGAGGGGCTCCCCCAAATGCCCAAGGAGGTCCAGTAGTCATCCCCCCCTCCCCCCGCGCCCCGCAGTCCACACAGGAATTGGGGCGTGGTATTCTAGAACCATCCCGGTCAAGAGCAGCTCACTGCCGTTGGAGCTCAGTATGAGCGCTGTTGGCGAAAGCAAATGAAATGTGGATGTGTAATTCCATGCAGTCGGCCCCCACTTTGAAGCAGGTTTATCAAGACCCATTCAATCCATTTGGCTCCTCTTAGGGATGATTTGATTGTTAGAGTCTACTGACCAGCCGTGTCTCGTTCACTGTAAAATGTGCAGTGCCTGGCACGTGATGCGTAACAGGTTATTTGTTGAATGAATAAGTGACTATTTGGGAACGGCGAAATGGAAAGCAAATCCTATTTGGAACATTCATTTTCATACATGACTTGGAATATTCATTTTCATATATGATTTGGAACATTCATTTTCATACATGATTTGGAACATTCATTTTCATATATGCTTTAGTCAAATCGATGTTGGCGTCTGAGGTCTGAGTCCCATTTCTGACCTCCTGTGAACTGACAGCGAAATGGACCACCAGGGAAGCACCCGACGGTGACAGGTGCCTGCTCTGTGGTTCAGGAAGTGGCTGCGTGACCTTGAACGAGTGGATGAGGCTCCCTGGGCCTCAGGTTCCCGCTGCATCTGTCCATTGCGCTCCACGGTGCAGACGTGAGTGGATGGAGTCCAGGGGGAAAACAAGGCTCCGTGTGCGTTTCCTCCGCAGGGCTGCCTGGGGCATTCATTCCCTGTGCAGCGAGAGGCCCCTCACAGGAGAGGATTCTGCATTGTTTCCCACTGTCTCTGCCCTGGGGAACCCCTGTTAAAATGGGAATTCTTATTTCCAGCTCTCCGGGGATCACAGTGTCAGGGAACACAGTTTGAGAAACTCCACTTGATCTGGAAGCCTCGAAAATGCAGCTGTTTTAGACAGGCTGTTAGAAGCCAACGCTTTTGTGGCAAACATTGTTCTAGACCCCAGTTCAAATCATCCCTGTGTCGGGAAAAGTGGATTATGTGAGGATTTTGGAAACCCCTTCTGAAAAATATCAACCATTTCGATTATTTACACAACCATGTGGTGGGCACTGTCCTAGGGATCTAGTCACCCATCCAATGCTCTGTGTCCTGAGCTTCTTTTTAGGGGGAGAGACAAGCGCACCGCCCGGACTGGCCAGCCTGGCTGCAGCGCGCGGCCCCACGCAGACTGAAATGTCCCGCCAGGCGGCCCTGATTGATGTGCTGCTACAGGAGACAGAGCGAGAGCAGTGGCGAAGCTGTGTTATCCAGGGTGGTCCAGGAGCTTCTGGAAGAGGCTGATGGAGAGAGACCCAGGTGAAGAAGTAGGGGTTGGAGCAACTCTAACGCCAGGAGGAAGAGCGCGCCAGGCAGAGGGACTGGCTCCAGCCCAGGCCTGGGAATGGGACGGCGCTTGGCACCTGGGAGGAGAGAAAGGCCGCCCCTGTGGCTGAGGGCCCTGACAGGTCGGCTATAAGGCAGGCCCGTATAGTGTTCAGCTGATGCTCAGCCCCGGGGGCAGGCACTGTCATTACCCACTCACAGATGAGGCAATGAAGGCACGAGGAGGGGACTCACTAGCCCGGGACCACAGAGCTTAGGAGCGGCAGAGCCGGACGTGAACCTGGTAGCCTGGCCATGGAGTCTACACCGCCCGGCAGTGGTGAGAGGGGCCGCAGGGCATACCCCGTCAGCTACCGCACTAGCACCTGGACCAGGACATTCCTCATTCCCGTGTTAGGAGCTGGTTAACTGCGGTGTTCCCATGGCCACCTTCCCCGCGCACCTGCGTTGGGGGGCAAGCAGCAGGCGGCAGTGGGGCAAAGAGCCACGTCCTGAGCCCGTCCGTGGTGGAGCCTCATATTAACCCCACGTGCTAGGATTTTTCCATCTTACAGATGAGGACCCTGAGGCCCAGAGAGGTTAATTGTTTGTCCAATGTCCTATCACTAGGAAGTGGTGGAACCAGGGTGTACACCTGGGCCAGTGGTTCTCAACTGGGGTGACTTTGTCCTCCAGGGGCCATTTTGGGTTGTCAGAACTGCGTGTGGGGTGCTCCGGCCATCTAGTGGGTCGTGGCCAGGGATGCTGCCAAACACCCTACTGTGCGCAGGATGCCCCCCCCCCCCCGCCCCCAGGACTAGTCGGCCCTGAGAGGGCTTGACCCAGGCTGGTGGAGTCCATGTCCCAGCTGCCTGTCCACAGAGCGCACCGCCCAGGGTTGGAAACGCCACAGTCCCCCAAATTAAAACCACGATGAGACATCACCTCAACCTGTCAGAATGGCCACCATCAATGAGTTAGCAAACAGCACGTGCTGGTGAGGGTGTGGAGAAAGGGGAACCTCGTGTACTAATTGGTGGGAATGCAGACTGGTGCAGCCACTGTGGAAAGCAGTGTGGAGGTTCCTCGAAAATTAACAATGGAACTGCCTTATGACCCAGCGATTCCACTTTTGGGAATTTATCTGGAGAAACCCCAAACACGAATTGGAAAGAATATACGCACCCCTATGTTGATAGCCGTGTTATTCACAATAGCCAAGATTTGGAAGCAGCCCAAGTGCCCATCACAGACGAGTGGATAAAAAAGTTGTGGCATGTTTACACAACGAAATACTACTTGGCCATAAAACAGAAGGAAATCTTATCATTTGCATCAGCACGGATAGTCCTGGAGAGCACTGTGCTGAGTGAAATAAGCCAGTCAGAGAAAGACAAGTCCTGTATGACCTCACTCATATGTGGGATCTAATGAACAAACTGAACTAACAAGCAAAACAGAGACAGACTCATAGATAGAGAGCAGGCTGACAGCTGTCTTTGGGGAGGGGGTGCTGAGTGGGAGAGTGGAGGGATTGAGCAAAATAGAAAAAAAAGAAAAAGAAAAAACCTATGGACATGGGCAATAAGCGTGGTGATTGCCGGGGGAGGGGAGTGGGGGGTAAATGGTGACAGACGGAGACTTGACTTGGGCTGGTGAACACACAATAGCGCAGAGAGGATGTGTTGTGGATTTGTGCCCCTGAAACCTGTGTAATTCTGCTAACCAGTGTCACCCCAATAAATCCAATGAGAAGAAACAACAAGAAACTCCACAGCCCCAAGTTCAAATTTCAGCTCCCCCCATTGATTGGTTGTTTGAGTCTGGGCACCGCTCCTAGCTTCAGTTTCTTTATCTGAGAAACGGGCTCATCAACCCCAAAGGTTTGGGGGAGGATTAAAAATGAATGTGTGACACACTGAGGTTATTGTCGTGTTGTTCTCTTCTCTCTCCTTTTCTCTTCTCCGTTTTATAAGACCTCTGTGGTTGGACGCATTTGATGGAGACTTTGGGGTTCCTAGCTTGGGTGGAGCTACATTCTCCCGGAAGCTAAGGGCCGTGACAGCCGAGGCCCATCTCAGCTCTGCCTCCTCTCAGCCTAGAACAGCGGTGTCTGGCGCGGAGTAGGTGCTCTCTAAATGTCAGCCTCTTGCCCTCGGCGTCTCTCTCACACACACACACACACACACACACACACACACACACACACACGAAGTGACAGGTGACCTGGGGAGGGGCCAGAGAGACTCCCCCTGCATTTGGGGGTGGCCTTCTTTCCCGCACCCTGTCCAGCATATGGGGCACAGCAGGGACGTGTGAGCAGGTGAGCAGGGAGCACTTCCTTAAACTTGCTCTCACTCTCCTTACCCTGTTCCGGGCTCCGTGT